ACCCTCTTTGAAAAGTGCTATATGCACTTGTTTTTTTATGCTGAATTTAAATTTGAGCTTGATTCAGAACAATTTTCCCTTGAGAGTTGCCAAATCGTTAAAAACCCGATTTTTAGCAGTTTTCGCATTAATCTGCGGCTAATTGGAGAGAAATGATCAACACGAACCTAAAATTCGGATTTTACTTAAAAAACTACGAAAGAATCATAGATCAATCACTGTTCCTCTGTAATTGCAGACCATGGCTGCACTGCCAGGCACACTGCTAATGTGCCTGGAATGCTTAAAAGTAATTAAATTTAACAAAAACTATGAAAGAATCATGAATCAATCACTGTTCCTCTGTAATTGCAGACCATGGCTAACTGTCAGTGTGCCTGGAATGCTTACGAGTAATAAAAATTTCGGTCTATTTTGCTCCTAGAATCAATGGATTGTAGGTAGTAAGGAGACTTCGATCATACTTTTCGACACTAAATTCGATTTGGAACTTGGTGCCACAGGATTTCCTCAGAGATATTGCCAAATTGTGCAAAAGACGCATTTTCGGAACTTTTTCTCACCAAGTCAGCTTTGACGAAGTCAATTTAATTCAAAGGACGTAAATTTGAATATCACCTCCAAAGAAACGTATGTATCTGATAAGCTAGACATTCTCAACATCTAATATGCTGCAGAAGTTGCCAAATTGTGCGAGAACTGCTAGAAATAAGTTTTTCATACGATTTGGCAACTTAAGAGGGACAATTTTTCAAAATAAAGTTCAATTCAAATTCAAATTCAAATTCAAATTCAAATACGCATAAGTAGCACTCTTCAAAGAAGGTTCTATTAATTTTGCAGGCCCTAGTTGCCCTTTGTCTAAACTAGCCGCCGACTGGTTAAGTGCAGAATCGTTACAACTCGGAAGTAGATCATTTTCCATAGGTCACATAAGATATGGTAGATGCAAAATTCTATGTAGAATCACGCCGACTGGTTTTTGTTTACATAGCAACGATCTCCTTGAGAGAAGATACGATAAATGAAAAAAAGCGGGTATAATATACCAAAATGTACGGAAAAGTGCGACAAAGAAAATGAGTTGCTTCTTGTTTGAATCGAGAATCCGGCATTTGACGATGTACCAGGGTTGAAAAAAAATTGCCTCTTAAGAAAGTGTGAAAAATGGCATCATCGCAGTCTCAAATTACCTTAACGATCAAATTGAATGCATGTTTCATGAAAACGTAATTTTTGAAGAATTTTAGCCCAAACCGCATCTCAATATCTTTTTTCGTTCAAAAGATATGGAACTCAATGGTTTTCAACTTGGCAACGCTGCTTGAGAGAAGTTATTTTCAGGCCTTGTAATGTTGGGAAAAGGCGTATCCCATAATGAGGAATGACACATTGAAAATTGGTCAAAATATATGAGTAGGGGAGGGGAGGAATTCTGTCGATTTTTCATACACCCCTTTGAGTTGTAGATTTTGGGAAGTAGGGGTCGTAAGTGGAGTGAGGCCATATCTTGTTCATTCAATATTTTGAATAGCTGTGAGACAATTCAGCTGAAATTTTTAGAGTACGTAGTTCCTTTGTAGGAATACTAGGTTTCGAATGGAATACATAGTAGGGAATATGTCTGTATGCATATTAGCACCGTTAAAAATAGCTTTTTCGAATTTTACATGGGAGAACCCCGCAAAAGTTTCCTTTTAGTGTGTAAAGAAAGACCGAAAAAAGAAAATCGAAAAAAGAATTGTTTTACCCGTGCCGCACGGCCATTGTATGTGGTACGCTTGCAAGTTGGATTTCCGCAAATCGCGTTTTTTGGCGGTTCGAAGCGTCTCCGAAGGCATGATGGAATTCATCTAGACATCTGAAATTATGATAATTATCTCCACTTTGTGCGTACTTTCACGTGGTATTAACAGAAATTTTATAGACTTTTTTAAAGTACGATTTTTTTGCTCTCAAAGTAGGGCGAAAAGACTATATGCGGTTTAAATTCGCACATCGCGGTGTATCACGTTTTGGCACATTGCTTATGCACGATAATTTTCATGCAGGGATCTGACAATACGGTTAGTAACTCAACTTTTTTCGTACTTTCACGTGGTGTTGACGGAATTTTTATAGAATTTTCCAAAGTACGATTTTTTTACCTTCAAAGTAGGGCAAAAACACGATATCTAGAAAATAATTATGTTATGTCACATCTTGGCTTCACTGAGTTTCATCATCAGTCCGGGCGACTTGGAAATTGCTTTTTGAAACACTTTATATATTTTGCCATAAACTGTGAGCTGAAATCTGAGTCCATTGTAAAAGCTGCAGGTTGCAACGCGTTCGCAGGTGGTTCGCAACTAGCTGTGATCTCGCGTGCATAGAACACGGAAAGCTGAACGGTTGAAATAAGCTTGAAATTGGATGAAGTGTCTGAGCAGCATTCCTAAATTCACACTTAACTTGTTAGTTGTATGATGACCATCTGTTTAGAGGGTAGACGACCAACTTTCGTATGTTTAATGTCTTGTGAAATTTCGTCCCCCCCCCCCCCCGG